GTCAATAAAACATAAGTAAATATCTTCCTAATATTCTTGCTTTAGCCAAGATCTATCTGACATTAGCAATAATATCTCTTGTTCCATGTCATCTTCTTGTATCTGGTATTCCCTGTGGATATACTACTCCAGCTATTTTTTAAATAATTTTCAGCAAGATTTTACTTGCATGTAATGTTAACGACACAGCTTGATAATTTCCACATTCTGTGGGATCACCTTTGTTTATGGAAAGGGCACAAATATGGATATCTTCCAGTTAGTTGGTCAGATATCTTCCAAATTTCTTGGCATAGGCTAGTAAGCACATTCAAGGCTGCCTCATTTGGTGAAACACTTCAAATGGTATGCTATCAATTCCTGGAGCCTTAGATTTTACTGGTGCCTTCATTGCAGCTTGAACTCCTTTCACTATCATTGGTTTGATCTTTTGTCAATTAATTATTTGTGGTACAGTGACTCTATCTTCATGCTTCCTGCATCATTAAAAGTTTTGCCCATATTCTGGTAGTACAGTAATTTGAAGCTTGAATTTATTAGGTTTTTCAGCTTGAGAAAACTGAGTGTATTCTCTTTGTGTTTTTTAACTCAAGCTCTTTGTACATTTCATTGTAATACTTTGTCTTCTTGAGCCCCCTTTGAATCCTTCCGTACACCTCTCTTACTTCAGCTTTTATTCTCTTTGTTTGGCCTCTTGATGTTCTAGTCCAAGTTTCAGTCTCTTCTGACATTTCTTTTGGTCTTTTCTTTCTTGCTTCTTAATTTCTGCATTTTGTTGGATCACCTTTTGTGGTAATGGAAGCAAATATAGCTCTCTTCCATAGAAAAAGATACTTTTGGCAGTCTATGGTATATTAAATATTCTCCATCAATATTACAACTCAAAGGCATTAACACACAAGGAACAAATTAAATTGGTCAAAAAGGTGGGGCAAGGGACAAAAACAGAAAAAAGATATGACAAGGGAGAAATTATTATGGAAATGATAACTAACGTCTTATTAGATAAATTTGAACATGCATATAGAATGAATAATTACTTAAAAAGACATAATTTAGAGACAGAAAGCCTCAGTAGACCAATTTTTTTTAGTAGAGAAAATTGCCAAGGAATTTTTCCATCAAACATAAATAATACCACCTCCACAAAAAAAAACAAAACCCACCAAGCCTACATGGTTCCATAGTAAGTACAAGCTTTCAAAGACTAGATAGTTTCAATGCTACACCAATCATTTAAGGACAGAGAAAATAAAAGAAAACAAGTAAAACATAGATCTTAAAACAGCAACTACTTAGAAATTTTGAAATAATAATCTTAAAAAATATATGAGCAAATGCAATCCAACATTACTAAGGTAAATTTCTTCTAAGAATGCAATGTTGGTTCAGTATATTATATTACCAGGAGGGGCATCCACTTCCTAAAAACATGCCTCTGGAAACTCTATGAACTTTGATAAATGTAAATAGGTACAGAGGGGCTTCAGGCCTTTTGGTCATAGGGTTGCTATGAGTCGTGCTCGACTCGAAGGCAATACACAACAACAACAACAACTTATCTAATAAGAATCATATGAATATCTTTAGAGATAGTGAAACAGTTTGAAAGTGGAATATTGTTTTCTGGTATAAAAAAACTAATGAAAGTATGAATTGTTAGATATTTCATTAATATGAACAAAAATATCCATAAGCCTTATATCGTAAGCTAGCATCTGACTAAATGAGGAATCACAAGATGAATATCCGCTAAGATCAAAAGTAAAACAAGGGTGCCCATTATTCACACTACCATTTCTCACAAGACGAGAGATTAAAAGTCAATGAAATGAAGTAGCAAGATAAATAATGACACAAGTATTAAAAACTAAAAAGCTAAAATTATAATTATTTGCTGAGGATGATGAGACTGTACTTTCAGGAAAACAGGAGAAACCAGTGCTCAAGTCAATTCAAGAAAGCTCCATGGACAGAGGAAGATCAATAGAGAAATCAGTAGTTTTCACATACACAAAAATAACCAGTTAAAGGAGCTAACTATACTTATAAAAGTAATAAAGTACCCAGAAATAAACTTACTAAAAGATGTGCAAAACTTATATGAGGAAAACTTTAAAATATGCCTGAAAGATCCGATGATATGATAGTATACTTAGAAAACCCTAAAGACTCAGCAAGAAAACTATTGGACATGGTTGACCAATTCAGCAAAGTAGCAGGATACAAGATCAACATACAAAAAGCAGTTGGATTTCTCTACAGTGACAAAAAGAATGCAGAGC